TGGACGTCGTGGACTATGATTTCTGGTGGAGTCGTTTCCAAGAGTCGAAAAGATGAAGAACTGGCAGTTACCTTTGTTCATCGTGGTACGTTAATATTATTCTGGGGAGTGTCCTTGCTGGCCCCACGGAAGAAGAGAATGCCTCAGCAGCAGCAACACCATCATCCATCGCCACACCCACAGCAGGCTCAGCAGTCACCCGATATGGACAGTATGCTTAGCGCGGTCTCAGCTATGGTATCGCCGAGCGTTTCGGCTTTGTCCGCGCCAACTCAAGGGCCACTGGATCAGCAACAGGAAGAGGCAGTAGTGGATCCTGATCAAATTGATATTGGCGTGGAAGAGGCTCCTTCGATGATAGCAGGAAGCTCTACTTCATCGCCTCGCAGTACTGCTGGAGTCAACGTCCTCATGTCGGCCTTGTCAGTTGGGGTCTTGCCTGACGTTGAAACTATTGAACGAAGTGGATTCCATCACCTGTATACAGCCAATTCATCATTAGCTCGGTCACCGTCGGTATCAGAGATGTCGGTTAGTATCCGCGGTGAAGTGACGAGAACGGCCAGTGGGGTTTTCGAGGTGGACGATCCGCCATTTATAAGGACGAGGAACTTCTTGAAGCGGTGGCAGAATGATAGGAGGGAGATAAAGAGGAGCAAAATGGGTAGTAGTATTGACACGGGCGGGTTGGATTCAATACTTGAGGAAGATGAAGGTGGGAGGCAGGGAAAACTGAGGAGGATCTTCTGGTGTGGTAAAAATGAGGACGCGGAAGAGTGTTGACTATGGCGGTATTGTATTGTAGTATATTCATGGAATTCAACGGTGGCTCGGATAGTGCCCATACGAGGTTACAACATGAGTCTAATGCTTCTACTGCTCGTACTAGTCTTCGCGTGGTGCTGGGTAGTAGGTAGTGGTGGTAGCTAGTGTCGGTGGTTACGCTGTCAGATTGTTGTTGTTCGTCGGTACATTCACTCGAATGCCTGGTTCATCATACTAGCTGTATGTGGAGGAGTGCGAGGTCCTCACTCTCCATAGGGGGGGCACGTGAGGATCTTCAATCAATGCAGATAGAGGCTTTGGGTCCAAAGCCTGGGTAATCATCTCAGTAATGGTGTGTGAGAGGTGCACTTGGTTATTAGGCAAATTTTTGGTCATTTTGAGAAGCTCTTGAAACGGCGCGATGTAGTGGGCATACAGGTGGCTGTTCAATCGGACTGGACCTGGACTAAGGTGGAGGACAGATGGAGGTGGTATGTGAGGCTCTTGTCGTACATCGGATGAGTGGCCATGGAGGTGATCAATGAGAAGCCAGTACAATGATGGTCAACAGTCGATTTAGTTCATCAGCTTGGACGGAGGCTTGGTCCTGTATTGGAGGTGAATTTATGGGATGAGAGAGCGGTTGCGGATCTCAGAGGAGTAATTCACCTTATACTGGACTAGGTCCATGATGAGAGCACTTAGTTGGACAGGCTATTGTGTGTGGTGAATTCCCATCTGGTGGCGGGGCGAGAGGGCTAAAAAACCAGTACTCCTCCTTCTGCGGAAGCATTGATTGCGGCCTGATCCATATAGGGTACTGGGCCCGCCACATGAAGGAGAACCAATATTAGAATTCCTTACTGGCCTCAGAGACAGCAATATACGCTATATCACCCAACTTCATGCCTTCCCCTTGCACTGGTGACCGATACTGTATTACTTGTGTTTAGTAGATGGACAGGCAGTTGGTGATTCAGTCAGTTTCCCGTGTCACCACCGTTATCATGAGCTCCCTATTCTCCCGTAAAGGTTTCGAGTCGATGTCACGAAGCCTCGAGCAGGCTAGTAGGTTCATGCACGTAGGTCTACTACTACTACTACTACTACTACTAGTAGTAGTAGTAGTAGTAGTAGTAGTAGTAGTAGTAGTAGTAGTAGTAGTAGTAGTAGTAGTAGTAGTAGTAGTAGTACTCTCAGCCATTGCAATGTGTCGTCCATTAGGATAAAGTACGGGAAGCAGTAGCAGGAGAAGTAGGCCCTCAGGGGCGGCGAGGTAAGCATATTGACCATCCCATCGCGTATTCGTTGGCTTTAAGACTCGCACTACGATGGTTACTCATCGTCATCATCATCTACCTTGGTACACTACCAAGTCGTGGATGTTGCACAGGAGGGGTCCTTGGAGAAGACCAAATACAACATGTATGGTAGCTGCTACGTCTTAGCAGGTTGAGTGCTTTTCGTCGTAGGTTTGCTCTCCCTTGCGAAGGCTATGATATCACGGTTGGCTCTGTGAAGGAGCACTTTCCTGTGAACCCAGCCTTTTACCGGGCAAGAGCATTCACCTTTCGCTTCCGGTGTAGTGATGATAACTTTGATGACTACGTTTGGTTAGACATGCCTGAGGATTTTGACGATCTCCGTCCACCCACGTAAGTACTCAGGCGTCGTTATGAACTAGAGCCGATGAAAGCACTCCAGATATCACGGGGAGATCTGGGTCAAGGCACTGCCAGTGAAACCGTATCGGCTACCAGAATCGGATTACTACTATGAGGAGGATCCTGAGGTTGGGCGTGCATACTTTATACAGAATTGAGCTTCAAACATCCTCATTAGATTGAGGCAGCGATCGCGGCGTACCGGAGCCAGTTCTTGACGGCCTCGAATGATTGCAGTCGGCCAAAGAAGAAACCGACAATTAGCCCTCGTAAGTCTCTTGTTGCGGAGGACTATTGCGAAGTTTCTTGCCTTAGGAGGCAACTCTGTTCCTCCCAGTAAGGGTTACGGTCATCAGGTCAGGCAAGGCGAGCTGGATGCGGACCTCATGGACTTTGGCGGTGGACATCACCGTACAGGTGTGCGATTTGATCTGAAATTCCCTGGGATTTCGAACTCTATATCTTCAGTCTCCAACCCTCCCTCGAGCTCGTCTGTCTATCCTGGGATCACGTCCCGATCGAGTACTCCTGCTGCACCGCAAGTACGGGCAGAGGATCTGAATAGGGAAGCGTTGAAGGCCGCAAGGCTGAAGGCTAAGGAAGAGCGCATCCGTGCAAAACACGTACCCTGTATACCGCTCGCTATGTCCGTTAGGACTGTATCGCTATAGGAAGAGTTTGCATCGAGACAACGAGAGGAGACCACGAAGCGAGAAGCTAAGCTCGATGCCCAAGGCCGGCTAGCAGAGGAGTTGGATCATTGGGCGTATACCGAACAAGTGAGGGAGGACGCTGGTGTGTTTGGTCGATGCCGTCCTTCTAGGGTAAACCGAAGGATATTAGAACCCTCCTGTCGAATATGGAAGAAGCTCTGTGGCCCAATTCCGGATGGAACGCGGTCAGTGCAGGTGATCAACTACCCGGGTCATGCAGCTGCTTCCAAGGTGTGGCTTTTATCAGGGGAGCTCATGGTCAACACTGGAGCCGTCAAGAAGGCATATCGAAAAGCGATCATCCTCTGCCACCCAGACAGGTAGGAGGAGAGCATTCGCTTTATGTCTAGTGGCCTCCACACTGCGTGTTTTCCAGACATCAAAGCGCTTCACCAGACGAGCAGTACAGAGCGGATCGCATTTTTAATGCTCTCAACGAGGCGTTCAAGCGACAGTAACGGCTCGATCGTTGAATCATATCGTTACATTTATTATGAATGAAAGTGGTTCTGTGTTATGACCAGTGGATGGGAGGATTATGGTCATTAGAGGCAAAACGCTTACCGGCTCGGTGTGCCCAGTTGCTATAGGTGTGCAGCTCGCTATAGGCTAGCGAGAAATCAGTCTTTGTTCAATATGAGGGTATTTATATTCGTTGGTGACGAGCGATAGTGATAGTGACGCCAGTTACGACAGAAATAGTAGGGGGTCTAATCAGGAATGTGATTCCTGATGCAAATGTTCAATGGCATATCCTTTCATTTCGGCAAATGTTGGGTATGGAGTTGCGAGTCGTAACAACTATAAAATCATATCGGGCGTGTGGTGTAGGGGTATCACGTCTGCTTCGCATGCAGAAGGTCCCGAGTTCAATTCTCGGCACGTCCATCTGTATTTGTCATATTACGATGTGTTTGTAGCAGAAGTCGAACCCAAGGCTTTTTGCATGCGAAACTGAGATACCCCTACACCACTACCCGATATTCCACATGAAATGTATCCGACCTCAGTTTCTCAATTTCCTGAGTGAACCGTTGATAAATCCGATCGCCACAACAACTCCTGTATTGCTCGAATGATGTAGGGATGACCATTATTTGAGTATCATAAATCTACTCATCATCGTTGCATATATTTGTCCTATAGCTGAGAGGTGCCATAAACGAAAATCGTTCCAGATCGCTGGACAGCCACGAGTAACGCTGTTCTCTCCTTGATGGTGAGAGAATGGATGACTACTCGTCACCCGACTCGCTAGTGCTAACTATATCCTGACTCAGTTCCACCTTCCCATCAGTGGCATGCTGCCGTTGAGCTCGAATCCGTTAAGATTACTTGAGTAACAAAACTGCTAGCGGCGAATGAAACGACTGTCACAGAAACTTTAAGTCTCCACCATCAATGCATGGGGCCAGTTCAGTACAAAGTCAACAGAAAAGGGAAAGCAATCAACCTGGCTAGTGATTGAACTTCGGAATCGTCTTAAATTATCGCTCGAGTCAGCCGCACATGCGGCGTACATCGCTGCCAATACCTGCTCACACGACGGTGACCCACTAGAGATTTTACACGAACTACTCTTCGTTCCATGCCACTCTGTAAAAAGGCGTTGAATGTCATCTTTCCGCTGGTCTCGTCCTCCTCGGAACTGATCATTCGTGTCAAATCCGTACGTTGGAATGTCCGCAACAAATGCAACGGCATCGACCTCAAGAGTCGGTCTCGGTCGAAACTCATAAGTGCTCTGAAGAGTGGTACTATCATGAACTAATGTGAGGGATGACACTCACCTTGTCGTAGTAGCAGTGTTGATACGCTCGAGTAAGCGAGAGTCGATGCTGTCCAAGAGCTGTGAGAACTCTTCCTCAGTGACGAGGGGTAGTATTGGTGACGCATGCATAAGTGTCAATATTAATTGAACTTCGAATCTCTGAGTAACCGCTGGTCGCGACATCAAGGCGGCTGACAGAATCAGCCATTTCTCATGGAGGCCTCCCGTGATTACCTATGCACCGCTGCTCCAGTTCGGGATGGTTCACGTCCAAACGCCTCAAGGACCGAACTAGCAGAGCCTTCTGCTGCCAGGCACCGTTGACTGCATGATCAATAGCTCCTCTGGCCAAGACAACAGCTGGTCTCTGTAGTGCTTCCGAGAAGTAAGAGAGTATCCGTGCAAGCATTTGTAGTGGTGGTTTAACTGCGTCTACTGCTTCCGCCAGGGGAATCCATATGGTGTCCTCGAATGGTTGGAGACATTCAAACCTATATGCGTGAGGGAGTCGACACATGTGCAACCGATCGTCTCAAGTGCCACCTACTGATCAGGATCCACCACTCTCGATCGCCGCATCCTGAGGTCAACCAGACCCACATGCCTCGCCGTCTGCGATAAAGCCTTCAAGTCTGGAGCCTTGCGGAGCTCGGCAACTGCTGCTTCGCATAGTCCAACTAGCTCTCGGGCTGTGTGCCTAGTAGCATCGATAGTAACCCGAACTTCCAAGTGGGAATGGAACTCTATGATTTACACTGACGCCATCAAACATCACATCTGAGTTCTGATTCACTTGTGTAGACAACGTGGGAAACAGTGTGATAGCCACAATATGCGGACCAAGATGAACTCTTGGGCTCGATCTTGTGAGTGATTCATCGCTCTTATCGAGATAGCAATAACTATATCAAGCTCAGCTTCCATCTGTACCGACTTATCCTTGCATGAAACAAGTCGACTCCCGTATATCCCTGACTGATTAGGTATATAACCATTAGTACTACAATACTTGTCTAACTAACACCGTGTCAGGTATTATAATCAACTACGCGTTGAATAATACAGTTACTACGCGTATCTTTGGCAACGCACTCGCAAGATTTCCCGTCCCACCCATACCAGCATATCAGAAGAGAGTCACTACCTGCATATGAAGAACCCCCTAGCGGGCAGAGTCTCCTCACTGACCACAGCGGCGAGACTCGCCAGGGCAGGTCGTGGAAGAGTTGGCATGGTGACGGGATATGAAACTGCGCCGTTGTCGACGGAACGATCATAGCGAATCCAGCGTAAATCGATTAGATTTGCGCAGCTCGTACGATCTGAGTTACGCACGCGGATGTGTGGTCTCTGGGTCCCAGAGCATTTATTACTAGCATCCTCATTTAAGTGTGTGATCGTGACAGTGGTCGAATTCGACTCTGTCGATCCGTACCTTCGTTGGATAGCTCCCTTTTACAGCGCTAGTAGTAAATAAGCGAGATTTAATGTTGTTATTCTCAGTTCCCAAGGACCTCTTGCCAAAATGCCGAACTTCACAGTAGAGGAGATGCGCGCGGCCATGGATGAGCCTCTTTACATCCGTAACATGAGTGTCATTGCTCATGTCGATCACGGCAAGTCCACTTTGACCGATTCCCTTATCTGCCGTGCTGGCATTATCTCTTCTAAGGCCGCCGGTGATGCTCGTTTCACTGATACTCGTGCTGATGAGCAGGAGCGTGGTGTGACTATCAAGTCTACTGGTGTCTCTCTGTATTATGAGTACAAGGCCGAGGACAAGGACAAGGAACACGGTTACCTTATTAACCTTATTGATTCCCCCGGGCACGTTGATTTCTCATCTGAGGTTACTGCTGCTCTTCGTGTCACCGATGGTGCTCTGGTCGTCGTCGATTGCATTGAGGGTACTGCCGTCCAGACCGAGACTGTGCTTCGTCAGGCCTTGAGTGAGAGGGTCAAGCCAGTTCTGTTCATGAACAAGGTCGATAGGTGTATCTTGGAGTTGCAGATGGACCCTGAGGAGATGTATGTCAACTTCCGTAAATGCATTGAGGATGTCAACGTCATCATCGCCACTTACAACGATGAGCTTATGGGTGATTGCCAGGTCTATCCCGAGAAAGGTACCGTCGCCTTCGGTTCCGGTCTTCACGGCTGGGCTTTCTCCATCGAGAAGTTCGCCGAGATGTATGCTTCTAAGTTTGGTGTCCCCAAGTCCAAGATGATGAAGCGTCTCTGGGGTGATACTTTCTTCAACGCCAAGAAGCACTCTTGGACTAACGTCGCCGAGCCTGCTGGTCACACTGGCAAGCCTCTCCCTCGTGCCTTCTGCCAGTTCATCGTTGAGCCCATCACTCAGATGATCCGTGCCATCATGAACGAGGATAAGGAGAAGTACGAGAAGATGCTCAAGTCTTTGAACATCGTCCTCAAGGGTGACGACAAGCTCCTCACCGGTAAGCCTTTGATGAAGAAGGTCATGCAGACTTGGTTGCCTGCTGCCGATACTTTGTTGGCTATGATCGTCGATCACTTGCCTAGTCCTGTGTTCGCCCAGAAGTATCGTGTTGAGAACCTTTACGAGGGTCCTATGGATGACGCTGCCGCCAACGCCATCCGTGCCTGTGATCCCCATGGTCCTCTCATGATGTACATCTCTAAGATGGTTCCCACTTCTGATAAGGGTAGGTTCTATGCTTTCGGCCGTGTCTTCTCTGGTACCATTGCTACCGGTAAGAAGGTCCGTATCCAGGGACCCCATTATGTCCCCGGCTCCAAGGATGACTTGAATGTCAAGAACATCCAGCGTACCGTTCTTATGATGGGTCGTTATGTCGAACAGGTGTCTGATATCCCTTGCGGTAACACCTGTGCCTTGGTCGGTGTTGATCAGTACTTGCTCAAGTCTGGTACCATCACTGATATCCCTGATGCCCATAACATCGCCGATATGAAGTACTCTGTGTCTCCCGTTGTCCGTGTGGCTGTGAAGCCTAAGGATGGTAAGGATCTCCCCAAGCTCGTTGAGGGTCTCAAGAAGCTTTCCAAGTCTGATCCCCTTGTTGTCTGCACCACTGAGGAGTCTGGTGAGCATATCATTGCTGGCTGCGGTGAGTTGCACGTTGAGATCTGCCTTAAGGATCTTAAGGACGAGTACGCTCAGTGTGACTTCACTGTATCCGATCCCGTCGTCTCATACAGAGAGACTGTCACTACTACCTCAAGCCAGACTGCTCTCGCCAAGTCCCCCAACAAGCATAACCGTTTGTTCGTGACTGCCGAGCCCTTGGGTGATGAGGTCAGTGCCGAGATCGAGAGCGGCAAGTTGGGTCCTCGTGTTGATCCTAAGGAGCGTGCTAAGGAGCTCGCTGAGAAGTACGACTGGGATGTTAACGCCGCCCGTAAGATCTGGTGCTTCGGCCCCGAGACTGAGGGTGCCAACGTCGTCGTCGATGTCACTCAGGGTGTCCAGTACCTTAATGAGATCAAGGAGCATGTAAACTCGGCCTTCCAGTGGGCTTCTAAGGAGGGTCCTCTCTGTGAGGAGAACATGCGTGGTATTCGCTTCAACATTCAGGATGTTACCTTGCATACTGATGCTATCCATCGTGGTGCCGGTCAGCTTATGCCTGCTACCCGTCGTGTCTGCTTCGCCGCTGAGTTGCTCTCCGGTCCTGCTCTCCAGGAGCCTGTCTTCCTTGCTGAGATCACCGCTCCTACTGAGGCCATGTCTGGTATCTATAACGTGCTCACCATGCGTCGTGGTTGCGTGTTCGAGGAGAATCAGAAGGAGGGTACTCCTCTGCTTCAGCTTAAGGCCTACTTGCCCGTTGCCGAGTCTTTCGGCTTCACTGGTGCTCTCCGTCAGGCTACCTCTGGTCAGGCCTTCCCTCAGTGCGTGTTCGATCATTGGGAGGCTCTTCCTGGTGACCCGATGCAGGAGGGTTCCAAGGCTCAGGAGCTGGTTCTCAACATCCGTAAGCGCAAGAACATCAAGGTCGAGATGCCTGATCTGTCCAACTATATGGATAAGCTCTAAGCACTTAGATTCATTCTGGTGCGGTTTGAATCTGCTGCGTCGTTCTTTGTTGATCGTTGTAAATCTCGGTTATAATATTGTTGATCAGTCTTTACCGTCTAAATTGAAGGGAATTGTTCAATCCGAGGTTGTCAACGGTTTTGCCGTTGCAGTAGTGGATAATTGCATTATAACGATTGGTCAAAACCTGGGACTTAGTTTACTTGATGCTACGAGAAGCATTGCGTTGAGTTGAAAGATTGGTTTGAGAGAAGATGGACGAGTAGGTCCTCAATCGGTATAAAAATGAGAAAGTAAATATGTAATATTCTGAAGAAAAGTCTCGTTAGGATCTATGTGCCGAGCTCTCGTGGAAGTAGTATTTCACACGGTCATTAGTCATTATCAATGATCATGTTCATGATAATTTATCATGATACTTGGGGAGAATACCTCGTGAAAAATGTTGTTATTACTGTTCCGATTGCGATCGCTGGGAAATGATGGAACACAGCTTCCCATGGGACACCATCGCTATGCTATGAAGTGTAGAAAAAACATGTACAAATTTACGGTCAAGGAAGATATGACCCATATTACTAATAACACAAGCAAAGATATTCACAAGTCAAAATGATACGACGATTGTCACAATAATGGGGAAAACAATTAAGCAAGAGTGACATAATGCGATGAATTGTAGTAAGCTTATTTATAAATGCTGCGACCTCCAGCATAATTGTCAGCAACATATATCGCTCAGTAGTAATAGTAGTAGGAACTGTAATTCCACTGCTTGTAGCGTTGCCGACTCTGTTGCCGATTGGCGCCACCTTTGCCCTTCCCTTTCCGATTTCGTCGAGGTTTAGTCGAAGTCGACTCATTCGTATCTGCGGACGTTTATCATATAAGAATATACGACTATAACCACTCACCCTCAAGCTCAGCTTTCGTGTGCTTTTCTTCTGGTGGCCGATCTCTGTCACTCTTGAGCCTCGTTACAGGCAACTTCCGACTCGCTAGAACTTTCGATCCTCCACAAGATACGTGCGCTGACGGAGCCATCTCCGTAGAGCCCTGTTCGATCGCCACAGAATCGCTAGTAGTTGAAGTAGATTTGACTTCTTGTGCTGATAATTCAGCTGAGGGAGATTTAGCCTCGGCTGACACCGGCTGAGGAGACTGTGTTGTACTCTCTGTGGAGGAGTGCGGCGGTCGTGCTAATATCCGTACCTGGAACAGCAGTTAGGAGATCATCCAACTATCGGTCCTTACATGCCCCATTTTCGGGCTGAACACAGGGCTAGTTCGAGAGGCTATGATCTCCTTGGCCAGTTTCGAGTCGGGCAAGGTCTCCTCAATAGGAGCATCCCACAACTCGACTAGAGTCTCCCCCGACATTCGTGGGGCTGCTGGCTCCGGCGAATCCACAGACTCCTGCCCCCGACCTCTCAGGGGATGAGGCAGGATGCGAACGTCCTCTCGAGGCACATACTTCGGTGCCTGCTTCACTGGTCTCTCCTGCAGAGTCGCTGCCGCTGGCGGTAACGATGCCATGCGCGACGCTAAGCTCTGAAAATAACAATGCGACTGTGTAAGGGTCGAACTGATGAGGGCTCACTTGTGATGGCAGTGGTGTTGGGCATAGATGAGGGAGAGTCCGCCCCAAATCGGCTAGACCGACCGTTATCCCACCGGAATGCTTTCTCGATTGTCGAGGAGCCATTATTAGGTAAGAATAGTAGCTTTAAGAGGAGTTAGATCGAGGTGATATGGAAACACTACAAAAATTCGAATAGAAAACAGTCTCACCATGCCTAGTCCCCCTGCCGATGCCATAACGAATCCGAAAATGTATAACATACAAGCTTCACGGCACCACGGAGTCACTCTGTTGAAGAGGGCTTAGAAGAAAAATCGATGGCTGCTCTTAAAGTTGAACTTCTCGAGCTGGCGCAGTATAGCAAGACCATGACCCACGGTCTGTTCGATCTTAGGGTGATGGTCAGGGTACCTTGCTGCGTGAATGCATGCTAGAGGTGATGGTAGAGACTCACCTCTCCAGAAGGTCCTCGTAAGCCTTGGTAACCATAGCGCACTGCTCTGGCATGTTCTCAACCTCCTCCGAAGCAGCAGCACCAGAGCCCATAACGCCTGAATCCGGACCCTGGTTCGATCCCGGCATCCCGCATCCTACCTTCAGCACGACTTGACAGCTCTAGAAGCTCGTTGATGTGATCCCTAACGTCTTCACATGCATACATACAGTTGACCGTCTCGTGAAGGTTGCGTATGATGGGGCCAATCTCATCGTCACATAGATAAGGTTCACACATGTGATCCACCTGGTGAAGTGCTGCTTCCTGCCCTGAAATGAATATTACCTTCTCGAGCTCAGATTCCCAGAAAGGGACGTCTAACACGAGATTGAGGCCATCCTCCCAGTTCGTGCCGAGTACCTTGAGGGTACAATATGTGACTGCGGATCCGCAATGGCCCGACCTGATAATAGAGGTTGGATGCTCTCTGGAGGGCCTCGGCTCGAGTGAACTTGTCCACTGTGAGCATGGAAAAATAGCGGGTTGCGGGCATGGTCATCGGCCTGACTAAGCCCGATGGAACCACGCGGCGAGAAAGAGTGCGACAGAGCAGGCTGGAGGCCATCGAAAGCAGCGATAACGGCACTATACAGTCGTAGTGATTCAACGAACGAAAAGGTCCGATGAGACTATCCACGTACCATGGGTCAAGATTAGGCTAGCCGTATGATAACAACGAGCTCTGCCGATTAGCGCTGAGTAGCAGCAGTTCTCTAGCGTATAACATGGAGTTTGCTTGCAAGAGCATTTCAAAGTGGCATTGGTCGCAAGATCAACTTCAACCCTCAACTACGTGGTCAAGTAGGTCTCGCGCGCGCCATGGTGATCGATTCAATTGTTTGGTGATTCGATTGTAACTTTAAGTTACAATTTGTAAGAGTGTTTGGGGATCCACGTGAAACCAGTACGTGAACTGAGAAAAAAACTACATGCAGTTACATGTCCCGGAGTGGCGTGAGATAGATACTAAGTTAGCTTTTGCTCAGAGTGAGCTGAGGAAGTCCATAGCAAGCACTCAAGTAACCCAAGCGAACACCATACGCAACGTAGTGGCGTACACACACAGTGGACGAGTTGTGCCAGGAAAGCATTGTACAGGCGTTCCGTAGCGTGTGAAACATGACGCACGTAAACAGCAACTTCAGCCCTTAAAGTGATCTGATTGTAGTGCGAGTGTGTTCTACACTTGTATGTTTGATGGTGTATGTGAACTGTTAAAGCTGTACTAACATCGTAATGGCACCGTCTATTTCCGGTGGCGATGCATCCGATGCTGATGCGCGAGAAGCTTCCATAACTGCCCAGCCAGGATGGTATTGGGACTGGGATTTCCCCAAGCACCACCCTTACCTCAATGAGGTGGCGCTCGATAGACTAAATCGGGTTATTGACGAGTGCATCTGGTGTCAGTCACATCACGAGTTCCGACGACTAATCAGGGCGTTCATCTTGGAGCACATTATCCCCTTTATACCGCAATGGGAGGCCGAGGGAAAGTTCCCACGAGAGCTCCATCGCAAGGCTTATCAAAGCGGCGTGTAAGTGTACGGACAGCTCGCTGCTGTTAAGTATGACTAGATACGCTCCATTGTGGCCCACGTCCATAGGAGGCACTCCTCCTCCTCTCTGCAAGGGGAATCCTGAGAGACCTGGTGAGAATGTGTAACTTTACCGACTTATCCACGTTGATACCACTCGATCTTCCAGTTCGTATAATCATCAACAGCTTTGTGCTGGCAAGCCATATTCCCATTATTACGATTCAATACCAGCTCATCTCGAGTCGATTGTCTCTCAGGTCCACACGAGGTTGACATCTGGCATGATCTCATTATCAACGATGAGCTTGCAAATTGTGGTGCAGGAGGTGTTATAGCAAGCTGCTTCGTGAGTCTAGCCATAGGCTTGCCTCCTCTCCTTGCGGGTATGTTCCCATCGACTCCACACTTAATGTTATTCAATCGTCTAGGTGGATTGGCTGGGGGACCCGAGCTGACCTCTCGGCTAGCTCGGGACATTGTCCAAGCAGATAAGATCCTAGCTCTAGCTGTGACAGAGCCGTATGCTGGCAGTGACGTTGCTAATATCCGAACCACGGCTGTTCTTCAAGTAAGCTGTAGAACATATCGCTCCGTTTCAAGCAACCCCGTGGGCAGCCTGACGGCAAGCACTACCTAGTGAACGGCATGAAGACTTTCATAACCTCGGGTCCTTGGGCAGACTACTTCACTACGGCAGTAGGCTGTGGCGTCCCCAATCGACTGGTCCACGTGTAGAGTAGGTCCACATAGCCGGTGACAGCGGTCTCTCTCTCCTGATGATTGATCGTACCTTACCGGGAGTGGCTACGACTCGATTGTCTACGCAGGGCTGGAAGTCGAGTGGAACGGCTCGTATCACTTTCGAAGATGTTAAAGTAGGCTGTTGACTCTAGTATAGTAGGGAATTCGTACAAGGTACCGATCGAGATGCTCATAGGTCGCCGCGGTCACGGCTTCAAAGCGATCATGTGTGGCCACTCCTACTCTCATGCTACTCATTATGCTATCATTAGGCACAACTTCAATCACGAACGCCTCATGTTGGCCTTACAGTCTTGTCGCCACGCCCGCATCTGCATGGAGGATGCCATACGCTATGCGAAGACCAGAAGGACATTTGGCAAACGCCTTATCGATCATCAGGTTAGGCATGCGAAGTGTGATGGAATGTACCTTGCTCTCTTGGATGATTAGCAGGGAGCGAGAATATCACGCTTGGATGACATTCAAATTGGTGTGGTAGTCTTCGCTGACTGTGCTCGTACAATCCACAGTTTGCCTTGAGTAGAGACATATTAGTAGTGTGCGGTCTTGGCTAGGGACATCTTGGATTCAGGTTATACGTCACAAGATAGCAGAGATGGCCCGACGAGTGCTGGCCACTCATTATTACATCGAGAACATTGCCATACAGTGGCCGCAGTGAGCTGGGCTATATTCATTTGGTGGGCCAAACGTTGTACGACAGGTCGAGTCAGAGCGAGTTGGCTGGGAAGGTGGCATTATTGAAGGTTCAGGCTACTAAGACCTTCGAGTTCTGTGCTAGAGAAGCTTCCCAAGTAAACTTCTCTTCTGTGTGTACCTCGATGAGGCGCTTTGGTAGGTACTTGGCGGACGTAGCTATCTACAGGGCTCCGGCCCTGGGGCTAGAATAGAGAGGCTGTATCGGGAAGTGAGAGTGAATGCAATTGGTGGTGGCTCAGAAGAGGTAACCGAGGATTACCATTCAGTGATTACCATTAAATAGTTCCAATCCATTGTTCTTTCAGATTATGCTGGATCTGGCCGCCAGGCAGGCTCGATTATAGGCGTATTAGGCATCTTATATCTTTAGTTAGGTGGTGGATTGGTCTTTTTCATGAGTTTTCTTTTCATTTCCTACATTCTTATTGTGTTGTGTCAAAAACATCTCCACTTGCGATAATCGTCATACTAACCTGAGTCACCATCGTCCTATTCGATCTCGGCAGATATCTAGCATTCATTCACTAGAGTGTTTAGTTTGCGGAATCAGTATCAATGGGTCTGCTGGTGTACCTCCTTACAGCCACCTCACCCTCTGCTCCAGAGTGATGCCATGGATTGATCGAGGCCGAAAACTCCCTACGAAGATTCCGATCGTAGCCTTGGATGAGGTTACCCGCGGTTATACATCGTTCTAATCAATGGATAGTAATCGCAGAGTGGAACGGTTCTGAAACAATCTGACCATGACAAGAAAACAACAGGAATACTGGGGGATATGAAACCATTGCATCATTCATGTCGATGAGAGCGAGACAAACCTCGTTCACAACAAACATGCAACAATTGAGAATTATATACATCTGACGAAACAGATACTGTAACTGTGCGCGTGTATACCTCTCAGGCAGTGTTAAGATATGATGGTCTTTCGGTGCCCATGGGGTCTCGAAGGATACTGCGGGTGAGAAACTCGTAGTCCATCTGATCCAGTCAATTCAATTCAATTCAATTCAAGGCTTATGCCGGGCATTACGGGCCAGAGGCCAATCGCCCATACTCATACTAATGCCACTAGCAAATACGACAAAAGGTGACCCTGGCCACGGCTTCCCCGACTACGGCTAAATGGTACAGTAGAAAGTAACAGAGTAAAAAAACAATCGACAACGATGAGTCATCACACACACCGCCACTTCACCAGTAAGCAACCAGCTTGTGCTCGACACTTGAGGCATGGACTTCATGTACTATGTGGTCATGCAGACACATGCAGGGGAACTACTTCACTACGGGGTACCTGAAGGTATTAGCTTAGTAGTAGGTCTTACTTGTATAGTATCAGCAGTATTGGGTCCCAGGGTGTTGATGCAATACCAAAGCTTCTCTCAATGCGGACGAAGTCACCCGACATGACAGCCCTCTCAGAGGGAGTTAGAATGCACATTACAACAGCGATGAACCCGAGGTAAGAACCTCTCCCTCGGTGGGGAAGCACATGAGCTATGGGCCACCCTCTATCGCACTCGTTGAGTGGATGTAAGAGTTTCGCTCAAAGAGCAGTGGCAGCTCGATCCCAGTTTCGATCTGGTTGGAATTTACCATCCAGTAACCCCCACGCCACGATAAGGCACTGGGACCAGTGGGGGGATCCAGTCATGCATGTTATTTTTAATCATGCAGGTATCGAAATTGAATAGAGCACAATGTGAAAACGCTGTTCGAGCGGAGCGAAGCGCGGGCTCACATATTTTCTCATCATCTTGCGTTGCTGGTTGTAGTCTTGTGCCTTGTATCGATGTTCATCCGTCAATCGGGGTTCCGGTATGTACAGAGGCAGATGAGGATGTATAGATGGAATCGACTAACGGCGAACCTGCTCCTCACTGGTAGCCGTTCTGAGGCCGGTTCGTCGATGGCCTTGGTAGTGCCACTGTAGCCTACAGTGTGTGGCCAGGTTGGTGATGTTGTAGGTTATCTGTGGTGCTGGTATTGGAGGATTTTCTCTCGCGTCTCACGCGGTTGTATCCCGTAACGATCATGGGAGCTCCTGTGGATGGCTGGGTAGCAGCAGTAAAAGTAATAAAGTGGATGAGATGATTGATGAGAGAGACGTCTTGAGCGACATTGAATCTAATAAGGCAATACCCTTATTTAAATGTCCTGTTCATTGGCTCGAATGATCAGGCATATACCTCCGGTAGCGGTGGCGGGTGTAATATTGTGGCTAAGCTGGGCGATGGCCAGGAGACAGCAGCACCGCCGGATTCAACGCCATCCACGACTTCGGGTGGTGATGATGATGAGGATGCTATGTGGGGCGAACTCATGGAGGGAGCTGAGGTCCCAGCTGATGCTAGAGTCAGACCAACCGACCTGCATCTAGCTGCTTTTAGAGGTGATCTCAATGAAGTGGAGACTCTGATAGAGAAAAAGGTGATAGTAGGAAAGGTCTAGAAGCATTTTTCCTGTCACATTGGAGCCAGGGAAAGACCATCGTTGGTTATTCATTCGTATGGTCATGTTCAGAAACATCAGATCAACCAAGCTGATAGTGAGGGCATGACGCCACTGATGGTGGCTGTTAAGCAGGGCCACATGGACGTAGCTGAGCTGCTCTTGCCTGTCAGTGATGTCCATGCTATAGACAAGGAGGAATGGACTGTCATGCATTGGTACCAGTGATGTGATGTCTTGTATATGATTGAAAAATTTAAGGGCGTGTGAAGTTGGGAGGTTGGCCTTTGTCAAGAGGCTCTGTAAAGAGCACTGTGAGCTGCTGGCTATGAAGGACAAGAGGGGTCTATCTCCTCTCCATGTAGTAGTGCCTTTAGGCGGCTCGAGGTATTTCGATACTCTATTAGATTGCATGCTGGCAAGGAAATGAGGAGTTGGCTAAGATTTTATTACAGAACAAGGCGGATATGAAAGCCTTGACTAAATGGGGCGAGACGCCACTGGTAATCCCCTTCTGCTTAGGGGGGTCATCAACTATGGTGTACTTGTCAGCACCACGCGGCATTCTTTGGCCACGTTGGAGTATGTCGACTACTACTAGAGCACGGGGCTGACCCTCTAGTGAAGGACAGGCTGCGTCGGTCGCCCAAGTCGCTGGCTAGCGGCAAGGCGGCCAGTCCGGAACTACAGTAAGTCCAAGCATGTGGTCAAGCCTTGTAGAGCCGTACATTACAGAGCCTTGTTCCGTGAAGCGGTAGCTGCTGGTCCTGCTGCCAGCGAGTCCTCTACGGCCTCTCTCAATGGGTGAGAGCCATGATAAATTCTGTGAAAGATGAGCCATGACGACACGAAGTGATGGTGTTTGCCGTCAACAGGGATTAGTAGTTGCGGTAGTAGGTGCATCCCGTTTCAGCGTTTGTCCGCAGTGAGAGCTAGTTGTGTTTAGTCCCAATGTCCCATAGTCCCCTCAGATTTCCTGATGAGTGGCACTGTTGCAGATTGATGTCGTCGTCGTCGTCGTACTTCTCGACCTGTCTAGATCCTATTTATCCTCGGTGTTTGCCGGTATACAGTTATTCAGCTTGTCGAGCCAGCTCTTGTTTTACCATGACCGTCAGTGTTACTGCGTTAGTGGGCATCGCCGAGAGCAGTATACCCATGGTTCGAGGAGAACATCCGCTGAATATCCGACCTCTCTCATGGCCTTGTGATTGGAGGTTGCTGTATTGTGTT